GAGTTCCGCCGCGTGAAGCGTTCTGGAAAGGAAGGCTAGAGGATGAATTTCACCGTCAGCATATTGGATGGAAAGAATAGCCGCAATGGCGTAATCGGAAGCGTCGGTCTCCACGATAAGTGGGCGATTCGGCTCCCAATGGGCCAGTATTGGCGCAGAAGTGAAAGCGATTTTCAGATTTTCGAAGGCCTCTTGACAGCTGCTGTCCCAGATCCAGGACGCGCCTTTTCGGGTAAGCCGAGTCATCGGCACAACGATATCACTGTAATTATAAATAAAACGACGATAGAAGTTTGCAAAACCCAAGAAGGACTGAATGTCCTTAACCTTCCTCGGGACCGGCCACTCTAGAACTGTCTGAACTTTCTCCTTGGACATAGTCAATCCGTCGGGAGAAAGAATGTAACCCAAATACTCAACAGTATCCATATTGAATTCGCACTTCTCGGGATTGGCGTAAAGCCGATGATGGCGTAACCGCCGAAGAACTTCCTTGACGTGTTCTCGGTGTTCTTCTGGCGTATCAGAGTAGATTAGAATATCGTCCAAATAGACGATGACACAAACATCGAGCATGTCAGAGAAGATGTCATTAACAAACCGCTGGAAAGCCGCAGGGGCGTTCGTAAGGCCGAACGGCATGACCTTCCATTCGTAAGAGCCGTAGCGGGTCCGAAAGGTGGTTTTCCATTCGTCACCTTCAGCGATTCTGACTAGATGATAAGCGTGAGCGAGATCCAATTTGGTGTATATTTTAGCTCTTTTCGGAGCGTCGAGAAGATCTGATATGAGTGGGAGTGGGTAACGATCCTTTTTGGTGATACGATTGAGTCCACGAAAATCGACGCAAAGGCGAAGTTTGCCGTCTTTCTTCGGGACGAAAAGGACCGGAGCGCCGTGAGGAGAGGATGATGGGGTGATGGCACCAGTAGCCAGCTGTTTGTCAATAAAGTCTTTAAGGGCAACTAGCTCCTTTTCAGACAAAGGGTAAATACGGCCGAGAGGCGGCGAAGCGCCTTCTTCCAAGTCAATCTTCAAGTCGTAAGGTCTGTGTTCAGGAAGAGAATCTGCAGCTATCTCGTCGAAGACGTCTGCAAACTCAGCATACTCTGCTGGGATGGAAGGAGGAAGTGGAGGGACAGTAGGAGCGGTGGAAGAGCGGTCGGCGGCGCGGGCCGCGACCTCTGAGTGGATAGCACGAAGAAGGATGGGTTCCATACCGGCGTCCTTGCAAGCCCTATTGAAGACTGCAGCACTGACGAGTGCAATGTCTACCTCGGGAGTTTCCAGCTGAGCAGCGAATTGAGAGACCGTAGGGTAAGAGTAGATGGGTTCAAAAGGGAATTTGGACGAAAGGGGCTTGGCCCGTGAAGTCCGAGAGCGGGAGCGAGAGCGAGAGCGAGGTGAGTCCCCAGGAGGGGTCTCCAGAATTGTCGGTGAAACCGACGGCGAAGGTTCCGGTAGCGGAACAGCGACCTTTGCAACAACAGTGTTGATAGCAGAAGGCACAGACGTCTGTGGAGAATCAAGGTGTGAAGTGTTACGGAACGTAATGTTTCGAGATGCCCAGTCAATCAACGGATTGTAGCGGGATAAGAAACTGTAACCTAGTACTGCTTTACAAGATGAATCTAAATGTGTAACATAAAAGGGTAAGAGAAGCAGCTCGCCGGAAGGGAACCGAACGGCGATATTCGCCATATCGGTAATGGGTTTAGAAGACAATGAACCATCAAAGAGACGAAGATTAACAGGAGAAATATTGGTCGTAGGAATAGAGTTCTGAGAAACATAACGAGTATCGATGAAAGAGTCAGTAGAACCAGAATCAACAAGAGTAGGAAATTTGAGAAGAGCAGAGATAGGTTCGGCCGGCGCGGCCGAATCGAACAAAGGAAATTCAGTAGTTAATGATATGACAAGAGATCGTTCAATGGAAGAAAGAGCGGACGCGTTGAGATATAACTCCCCAGGTGAGGTACGAACCTGATCAACGCAGCTCCCGTTTCGTACCGGGGAACAAGAGCTGCGGATTAGTTTTCCGATTCCTCTTCAACAACCTCAATGGTTGCTTCGGGGGTTTCTTCAACCTCGGCAGCACGGCCCTTTGATTCTCGGGCCTTTCGCTTATTGCAGTCAGCAATCTGATGCTTACCACCGCAGAAGAGACAAAGGTTGTTCTTCATCCTTCTTTCCTTCTCGGAGGGAAGGACTTTCCCATCTGCACCAAGATGGTTGAACGCGGGGCGCTGACCGCCGGATTGGCCGGAATTCGAAGAGTTCTGGGGCTTACCATTGTTGTTAGGCTTACCACCAGAGAAGGGTTTAGGCTTCGGCGTGAACGGCGCCGAAGAGCCAGATGGCTGAGAGTTGTTTTGCTGGTTAGTAGAACCAGTCTTGAAGTCCGAGGAACCCTTCTTCGGGTTCCGAGCAACAAAAGGCTTACCAGCCTCACGCTTTCTAGTTTCCTCGCGTTTCCAATAACGATTGTCAATACGAAGAACTTCTTGACGGTAATCGGCGAGCGTCGCCGGCTCGGGCAAACGCGCCATTTCGTCCTTGATGCGCTCAGCTAATCCTCGTCCATAAGCCCATTTCAGGGCAGCAGAATCCCAGTTGGTACTAGCAGCCAGGGTGTTGAACCGGATGTTGTATTTCCGGATGTTCTCGGTTTCCTTCATCTTCAGATTACCGAGAGAATCTTCGGCCTCGCCTTGGGCGTCGTAAACGCCGAAATTATCCTGAAGCTCCTTTACAAGGGCTTTGAAGGAGGATGTCCAGGCCGGCAGCGAGTCGAGATCCGGGTCGAGGATATCAGGGACAAACCATTCTTTGGCTGACCCACTGAGATAGGAAAGGGTGTAGTTCACCTTCCGTTGGTCGGTGAAGTACTTGGGACGGTCATTGAAGACCAGGGCGAGATTGACGAAGAACGTCTTGAGTTTTCGGGGATCCGAACCGTCGAAGACCTCTGGCTCCTTGACCTTGCTCTTGGATTCAGAGCTGTCAGAAGGGCGGCCGAGAGCGGCGAGGACGGTACCAAGGGTCTCAATGGAACCCTTGAACCCCGAGAGGAGTTCCAACATAGCACGTTGCTCGTTGGGGATGTCAGGAGATATGGGAGAGCGAGGTCCACCAGGTCCACCAGGACCGCCGGGACCGCCGGGACCACCAGGACCACCAGGTCCACTGGGGTCACCAGGTTCACCACGCGGTAAACCGCCGGAATCGTCATCCAGATCGTTGTTGTTATTATCGGCGCCCGGATCGTCGGGGTCGACAGGAGGGTCTTGATCATCGTGATCACCGGTGTCCAAATCGAAGTGAGGAGGTGGGTCACGAGGAGATTCAGAAGCAGCGCGACGTTGGGGTTGTTTCCCCGTACGGCGGGCTATGGCTTGGAGGATTGGAGAATCAATACGAGTAGTTGAACGGCCCCGAGCCGGAGCGACCACGGGGGGTTGTCCACGGCGAGGGGTCAGGACTTGGACAGGTTGTCCGTCACCAGTGTACAATGTACTGTACTCGAATTGTTGTTCTTCTTCCATGGATTCAGGAAGAGTCGACGTAGTAGGAACTGTAGCTGGACCGAAACCGCGATTACGGCGACGTGGTTGACCAATAGCAGAGATAGAGTCGGAGAATGGGGCAAATGATTGAGCTGTAGTGAAGAAAGTGTTTTCTTCGGAGTTAGCTCTAGATTGAGCTCGAGTTTTCGGAGGCATAAAAAATGATATGTCAGTACGACGTTAACGGATTGAGTTTAATTATACTGTTAAGATCATGCAACCCGTGTAACCGTGCCAGAGGTCACAGAGTGTCTAAGTGCGGAATACGAATGGGACAGTAGTGAAGTTATTAACAACACCGCCGTTACGCCGTATGTCCCCGGAGGTCAAGAGTATAGAAGAGAGGAGCTGAGTAGCAGCCAAGTCGGAGCGGCGATAACGCCGGTGACGAGGAGCGAACCAGAGAACGTATAAGTCCTAAGGTAGAGTAGAGAGAACTTCAAGGCAGTAAGCCTGAAGACTTAGAGGAGCACAGAGTGAAAGAGGGAATCTAAGTCGATCTAAGTTGATAATTAAACTAAGGAACTACAGTAGCGTACAGGCAGTATTTATATCTACGGAGCGGCGCATCGGTGCGGAGCGCCAGACTAACTACTAGGAGCTATACGAGTAGTACCTGCAGGGTAGAGTAAAAGACAATAAGGAGAGACTAGAACGAAAGAGTAAAAGACAATAATGAGAAACTAGGACGAAAGGATATGTGTAGCGAGAAAGAACAATAGGAAGAGATTACAATAAAAGCAGATCTTCGGAATACCGAGCGGCGGAATGGAGGCCCGCGGCATGGACTTGACAGCTGCCCTGCTTAGTCACTCTGCTTTCTTGCTCTGTTAGTCACTCCGCTTTCTTGCTCCGTTAGTCACTCCGCCTCTGCCGCTTGGTGACAATTGCATTCTTCAATATTTTCTACATCAGGACTCTTTGACATTCATTTGATATGTCTTCGGAGCCTCGCAGTACTTCAATCGTTCTTCTAGTCATTTTCCTCAACCATGCAACCTGATTGGTCTATTAGACTAAATCACAGTCTTTTAGATTAATGCATGATCTTGTTCTAGAAGGAGTATATGATAATTCCTTAGTTCTAGAAAGTCATTTTGAGTCAATCCTCGGCTCATGGTCACTTGAGTAAGTTCTTCCAAACTCCTGCCAGTGTAAGGTCCAATAAGAATACCCTTGGTATGTCATACGTGAATGGTCATCCTTCGGATGTAGTCCGAGTCTGGTATAATCCTGCTTGACAAACAGGTAGACTGTCATCCGAAGGTAGTATCGGGGATGGGTAAACTAACCAACTTGTGGTAGTATGGGTATATGGTCCCTTCAACTTATTAGACTGATTCAGTATTGACTTTGACTGTCAATCTGGGTCTCAATTACAGTCCTCTCGATACAAATCTATACGTGAAAATGTCACAATTCACAGCATAGACTGTAAGACCTGGGTCAGAATAGGTCTTAAGGTAGGGTTTGGTATACGAAGGTTCATGTTGTAGCATGCTAGGAGCAGGCTGGAGCTCGAAGGGAGCTACAGGAACTGCGACCGAGGACAGGAATGACCTAGTAGTGGCTGGGGCAAAGAGGTGGTGACCCTTGAGGGGGTTCCTAGGAGGTCCAGGGAGGTCCCTAAGGCGTAGGGAGGTTAGGTAGAAGTATGGGACCTTGTAATATTGCGTAGTAGGAGTTGTACTTGCTAGAACATCAATATAGGATTCGAATAGGTCGTAGATGGAAATGGGTCTCGAGGTTGTAAGCTCCTGAGAAGGTATACGCCTGGGAGGGTAGGTTCCCGGGGACTGGGCTTGAGGATGGACATCCTCGAGTGTTGGAGGTGGTAACGGAGAAGCAACACGTGGTTTGACATGAGAGGTAGCTTCGATGTTACTTAGATCGAGGTCCTGAAGCTTATGGAGTAGCTAGGGAGCTTGAGGAGGTTTGGGGAGGTTAGCTCACCAAGGCGATAGGCATTGGGGAGCTTTAGTATTGTTCGAGGGAGCTCGGGAACTCACTTGGATTGCTTAGACGTGAAGTAAAAGCGTGTATTGGATCATATAGACAATCGTAGAGACGATAGACAAGAGTTGAGAGAAACAGAGATAAAGAAATAGAGAGTAAAGAGAATTCCATATAGGTAGCAGGTACAAAGGGACAGGGACTGGACCTAGGTAAAGGGTGTGTGTTCAAAATATACCAAGCTGGGGACGTTTATGTTACCGAGGATACTTATATAGGTGGGATGGTTGGATAAAGAGACATTGTAATAAACGAGCATCCAATGGGGATAGTGTGAGTTGCGGAACCCATGAGGCTAAATTGATAGGGGATTGTCTGGTGGCATGCACGAGTCTTGGGACTGTTGCTTCAGATGGAGGTTAGTATTGGTCGGGAGGTTGGTTAGGGTTCCGTGGTTCATGGGGGCTTCATGGGAGGTTATTTAGGAGGTGGAGAGGAGCTGGTAAGCGGTTCTGGAATGTCTAGGAGTAGCAAAGGGGAGCTTTTAGGGTAGGAAAGGGAGCTTTTAGGGGCAGGGCATGACATAGATGTCTAGCCAAAATTTAGGCATGTCACCGTTACCGGGAAATTCATCACCAATGTCGGGGAGACCCTCACCGGGTTGTCTTGGTCTCAATCTCCTAGTGATAGCATCTCATATCTTGATCAAATGGCTAGCGCATCCGCGAGGGCAGAGCCCTATGGGATCGCTTCCCTGATTTTCCAGGTTTTGAATGTAAGTAAACCTTGTTGGAGAATTGGTACTCCGAAGTGATGAATCGTTGAGTTTGCTGATATTTGAAATCTGGATACCTTGTTGATTGTTTTCTAGTTCTTTGCTGGGGATGCAATTGTCGTGTGGTGCGCCTCTGTTCTTTGGTCCCATTCAAGAGCTGTGCAGTATACGTTGTGTGTACTGTTAGCTGGAAGTGCAGGTCAGTTGACATACTAAGTTTACCACAGATTGCTCCTTCATACTACTACCTATGTTGACCTCCTGGTCTCCAATCCCCTCCAAATCCTCCTGTGATCTTCTGGCATACAATAATCACTGACTGGGAATATTATTTGCAATCTCAGCTGCATCAATATACGATGTGACGAATTTCTCCATCATTCTCACAAGCAATAAGGGAGCAAGCGGAAATGGATTCTTGAAGGGTGATGCTTCAAGTATGTTTGTCTTGTTAGCTGTGAATCTTGCGGCGACGAGCTGTATTATGAGTAAAGCTTGGTATATCGGGGAAACTTGATCTTTTCACTTTTCCCATCAAGTTTTTGTTGTCCTTGACACATTTTTGATGCTAATCATACTACACACTTGTAATAACTTGCATGTTAGGCTCTTCCGACAGTCGATCAAGAAAACAATGTCTCGAGATCGAGTGAACAAGAATGTGTTGTTCAAAATTTTGCTTTCCCTTGTTGAGTGTGGTTTATTTTACTGTGCAGTTCAGGTGGGGTTTTTATTACTTGATGGATGAAATAGTCCAACGTAGTTTTGATGCTCACTCATGAATGTCTGGGTTACCTAGGCGGCAAATGGAACGTTGACTGTAGATGACGATGCACCTTCAGGACTTGGTCATGCAATTGTGGCCCAGTTTACATCATTTTTCACAGTGAGCTTCTTCCCCTACCTTGCCACTTTTTTCTTTTTGATGTCGATCCGGTACCGTACCTCATCTTTACACATAGGGAACACACTCAGCACTCGTGATCTCAATTATTGCCTCCCAAAAATCCATTTTGGAAAGCTCTTCGGCAGTGGTCGGAAGCCATAGAGAGCCTTTAACGCAAGATGTGGAGAAAGGAGTCGGAGCCTTGCTGAAGCATAGTACAATCCGGTTTGCACCCGGACAATTCGTATCCGGCGAGTCAGAGCAGTCAGCGTCTGGGGATTATGGGAATGGGTTCTTCACCACAATGTCAGCATCTAGTAGTGAACTCAAGCAGGAGGATTGAAGCTACAAAGTGGTGATAAACTAGAAAGGGACTTGGAGGACTATCGCTCTGGTTATTCTATTTGCGTAGGATCCTTTCTTGCTGCTATTTATTGGCAACTTGAGTATTCTGTCGTTCATGTATCCCTGATCCATACCACCAAAAGACGTGCTGAGAATTGAAAGAAACCAAGCATGAGAATTTTGCTTGTATTGTTCCAGTCGAGTCAGTACCAATATCCACAGTGCTAGCATGGCTCTTACAGATGAGGAATGGAAAATCGCCATTGAAAAAAAGATTTCCCAACTCAAGAACACTGATAACAATGGTACAGTAGCAGCACACACTGGTGGTAACCAGACCAAGTTCATAACCATTACACACCCATCGGATCCTTTATTCCCTTCGACTATTGATCATACTCTATTGAAACCAGATGCTACTTCAGCGCAAATTGATGTTTTGTGCTATGAGGCGATAAGGTATGGGTTCAAGGTAAGGCTTTATTTTGTGTCTGCATGTGTACACAGTGTATGTGGACAAAGTCTAGTCATGCTGCATGAATGGAGTCCACGTTAAACAAGTTGCTGAACAATTACGCGGATCCAAATCTATTCCATGTGCAGTGATTGGGTTTCCTCTCGGGGCAAGTACGACGGCTGTAAAAGTGTTGTGAGTTCAGCACTATGATAATAATACCCCACACTCAATAACAATCTTACCTACTTACTACAAAGCGAAGCCCAAGACGCCATCTTCAATGGCGCACGTGAAATGGACATGGTGATAAACATTGGCACACTTAAATACCAATTTTACACCACTGTTTTTGATGATATTCATGCTGTTGCTGAAGCATGCCACGTCTACCAGCCTCATCTCCATCAGCACAATCTACAATCCTCCGAGTCATCCCTCACCCGACCGAGTGAAGAAGCTATGAGAAAAGTCAACCTGGAAGTCATCCTTGAAGCTATATTTCTCTCCGACTCCGAAAAAATTGCTGGAGTGTTCATTGCTGCTGAAGCCGGTGCAGATTTTGTCAAGACGTGTACTGGGTTTGGTGGGGGAGGAGCGACAATGGAGGATGTGGGGCTTTTGTATTGGTCTGTGGAATATACTTCTGGGAGGAATGATGGGAAGGGTGATAAAGTTAAAGTGAAAGTGAGTGCAGGAATTCGATTGTTCGAGAAATGTGTGGAGAGGGTTGGGACATATGTGGTTCCCCCCTTGTGTTTCTTTCTTATCCAAGAATCCTGTGTCAATGTATATTATACAGGTCCTCTGGAGTTGCAATCATGCAGAACATGAATGTAGGCACAGTTTCAGGGACTAGTCAGGCTTCAACAGTGTCCAAAGTTTATTGAAGACTTTTGCCTCTTGTCACTTGGGTGGAAAAAAAGTGAGGAGTGACAAATATATGTACTACATGCAATTGAAAATCACGTTGCTTGCAATGCACACGCCGTATTTGTATTCTTAATTGTGCACTGATTTGTGCAGAGTCACATTCAGTGTGGCTGCGGTGGCTGGATTTGGTAATGCTGATACTGTGTTTGTGTTTGATCCTGTGTCTGCTGTTATACCTGCAGATATTGTGGAACATAAGATGGGAGTATCAACATCAACATTGGCAGTGGTTGAGGTGTTGAAGAACTCAACCATTGCATCCCATGTGTTGTTTCTACTCCTGTTCAACCTGTTGTGCCTCCACTCAATGACAGATATATCTAATTAGCTACTTCATCTGTAAAAAGACTGAGATGTTACTTGTCTAAATTGATTATGACACCATACTAAAGAGCCTATAACATAGATATTGTAAAAAATGAAGTGGCCCTGCCAGTCCATAAGGTTTTTTGATGGGACTGGCTATAGTCATACATTGTAAAATTTATCACCACTGACGGTACCAGGACATCCGAATCGCCGTTGTTAGTGTGCATAGCGCGCCACTCTGGTGAAAAACTGGTCCAGAATACCCTAAAATTCTTCAAAAAAATTGCTTCCTGGGTATATTCCAATTAAGACTATTTAGAGCCAATAAATTCCAATAAAGATTTTGGCAGCGGTCCGAAAATTGTGGTAATAGATAAAGTATTATCTCCTGAGAACATCATCAAATTTACTTATTGGCCAGTAGTAAGTATGCACAAGAAAATGATACCATTAAATGCTATAATATATGTATGATAACAAGAGACAGTTGGACGTACAAGAAAGTTGGCACTTGGTAACTAGATCAAGTATGTAGCTAGCAAGACACAAGAGCCGCTTAATTCACCTTCCACTTTTTGGAACTCGAGCCTCTGACAGTTTGATCATCTGCTGGGCATTTTGCTGTAGCCATTCAATTGTTACGGTCCTTGATTGTAATCAGCTCACGAGGTGAAAGAGGTTTTCAAACATGCTGAGAATGAACAGAGCCATCATCTATTATTTCAGGTGTGCTGGATTGAGAATGAGCAGGAGGAGTAGGCCCAGAAATTGTCAAATGATGCAGAGGAATGTTTTCCTTCGTCAATTGCAGGGAAATGACAGCTTCGTGTGTGGGTTTGTGCATGGCTCCAACACCAGGCGCACGAAGAACTAGCTTTATCTTCTTGAGACACACCACCTGTTTCCATCCAGGGTCACTCCTTGGTGCATTGTCCGTCAATACAGAGGTGATCTTCTTCGATGGTGGGTTGATCTTTGGCGTACCAACTGTCAATGCAAGTTTGTCCTTTGACATATTGTCTGCTTTAAGAATACCAACCGTCTTTGCTATCACAGGTTTCATTGCAGTCCTACCTTGCTTCAAAGTGAGCCGCTTCTTCAAAATTCTGTGTCTTTTGGAAGACCCTTTCCCTTTGGTTGATACTTCCAAGAGAATATTGGAAGCAGATGATCTGGTCAAGAAATCGTTGACTGGATTCCAGGGATCGCAATGTGTCTGAGCGAGAGCATTAGGATTTTGCGCCAGTGATGCTGCTAAGAGAGCAGGTCCTGCGAGGTTGGACACCATGGGATCAGAGATTGGTTCAGACAATATAGCAGGATTGGACATGTAGTCGCTTGTGGGAATTTCTCTACTAGGCTCAGTTATGGATGCGGCTTGGGGATCTGATACAGGTTTTGTACTGGAAGGAGGCAGGTCATTGTCCATTCCACATTTGCAGAATGGTCGATGCCCTGTTAACACATGTAGTATCAATTGTGGCTAGCATCGAGTCCGAAATGGAGACAGGGGCAAATGTTGTAGATGGCAAAGAATCAGCTCGCGAATCTGGTGAGATCATCCTGGTGACTGGGTTTGAGTCTAGAACGGAGGTGAGGGTGGATGGTGTACATGGCAAAGAACCCGATAGCGGATTTGACAAGGTGGTCCCAGTTGAGTCCAGAAGGGAGACAAGAGTAGATGCTGTAGATGGCAAGGAAGTGGCATTCAACGAGGTGATCGCAGCCAAAGTCATCTGTGAAGTGGTCAATCTGACAGAAAACAGATTGACCGCAGCCAATGACTTTGGGACCTGTGGTAGATTATTTATAGAATTGGTGACCATATTGGAGCTGGAGAAATTCGATGGCTGTTTGAGGAAGGTCGGGAGGAATGGGAAATCGCCACACTGCTCATCGGGAAAGGCTGAGAGGTGTGAGCAATCAAACTGCTCCTTGGGAGTAGGGACTTCAGGAAGAGGGGAGCCAGTGTTTGCGGGATGTTCACAGTTGGTCTCAGGATTGAAAGCACCATTGTTCCACAAATGAGCCCAATCCTCATTAGAAAATCCTTCGGCATTGCGCAAAGCGGCATCTGAGAGTTCCTGAAATTCAAGGTCTGTCATATTTAACAAGATACTGTGTTTTGGGTCAAAGGTTTCAATCGGCTCTGGTTGAGGCAGAAGACTTTGGGGGAAAGTGGATAGAAAAGATTCTGTAGGCTGGGTGGAAAACCCAAACACCGTTGACGTTGCAGATGAAACTGGCAGTGGCGAAGTAGCCCAAGCTTCAATACTCTCAGACAATGTGCAGGCATCAGACAACAATATTGGACCTGGCGGAGGTTGAGGGAGAAGCGCAGAATTGACCACATCCAATGATGTCACAGCCAAAATACTGACTACTGTGGAAGAACCCGCAGAGGGATTTACCTCAGACAAAGCAGCAGTTGGAGCACCAGCATTTATAACTGGAGGAGGACTCACAGTTGACAAGCCTGACACTGCCAGTACTGCATCCGCGGCAGAAGGCGATGCTGAAAAAGCAGGTACAGCTGGCAAACTGGGTGAGTCGGACTCGACTGATGCTGGACAAGGAGATACAACTGTCAATGAATCTGCTGGTGCCACAGAGGACAGCGTAACCGGTGACACGCCTAAATTTTGGCTAGACGTCTATGCGGTGAATTGTGACATTTTCACATATAGATTTGTATCGAGAGGACTGTAATTGAGACCCAGATTGACAGTCAAAGTCAATACTGAATCAGTCTAATAAGTTGAAGGGACCATATACCCATACTACCACAAGTTGGTTAGTTTACCCATCCCCGATACTACCTTCGGATAGCAGTCTACCTGTTTGTCAAGCAGGATTATACCAGACTTGGACTACATCCGAAGGATGACCATTCACGTATGACATACCAAGGGTATTCTTATTGGACCTTACACTGGCAGGAGTTTGGAAGAACTTACTCAAGTGACCATGAGCCGAGGAATGACTCAACATAGAACTCAGGAATTATCAAATACTCCTTCTAGAACGAGATCATGCATCAACCTAAAAGACTGCGGTTTAGTCTAATAGACCAATCAGGTTGCATGGTTGAGGAAAATGACTAGAAGAACGATTGAAGTACTGCGAGGCTCCGAAGACATATCAAATGAATGTCAAAGAGTCCTGATGTAGAAAATATTGAAGAATGCAATTAAATGAATGCTATGCGTAACTCCCTTGATAGAGTATAGGCACAATGGGTGTCTATTGAAAGAGAGAAGCAATTAGTTTAATCCAGATGAATCAGATTAATAGGATTAGAATTGAGGAGAGCTGATTTGCCTCCGGACAAGGTGACAAATGATCAAAGTAAGTGTTGAGCACCATTTGAGTCATTCTCCAAAACAATTAAATTAAATGAATATCGAAGTACCTACCTATGTTTGGAGGTATGCTTGAATCTTGGAACCATTATGAACCAAATAAGGACATGAAGATTCAAATTAAATGGTATCTGATCGATTGTAGAAGTTTCCTTGCAGTTCTGAATGTTTATTGTATTAAATTAATTGTACTGTGCGACTCTATGTTCTGTATGTATAAATAGCAATCCGATGTATCTGGAATACAAGTGATTTTGGGACGACATTGCAGTGCTAATCCGTAAAAAGGAAAGACACACTCCCGCCAGACTGAAACCTCTTCGCTAGCAGCCATTCGGGCCCAGCACTTGTGAGTATAGGAACATTGTGTTCTGCTCCTTGTGACTGCGAGAAGTATATCCAGTTGTTGGGTATTCTTCGAACTTAGGATCAGTTGTTGGTCTTAAGGGCAAATCACGCTGTGTGGTTGTGCCAGCACATAGTTCTAGCCCTCTGTAGGGGTCTGTGTGTTTCGGTTTTAATTTACTTTGATTCAAACCCCCAATTCTTGATATACCCAAATCAATACAATCAAAGCACAAATCGTGCTGAATCCACCTTAATCAAAGGAATATACCGAATCCTTAGAACAATTCAAATTGATTGATCGAAGCTTCTTACTTAGCTCTCAAAGCTTTGCGGAACCTTTGCCAACACTACCCCTTGCTATTAAATAAATTTAACAGCAGTGAACTCGCATATTGTGTATTAGATTGGTTGGTTGGAGTGCCCATTAGATTCCTTCCTTTCTCCTTCACACAAAAACGAGGCAAGCTCATTATCTGGAGCCCACTGCAAGGGGTGGTTTTGAAGCTATATTTAGCTTGATCAATTAAATTGAAAGTTTGTTTGGATTATATTCGATTATTTGGTAGAAGTGTTTATCTTTGTGTATCCATTTCTGTGAACTGTCAACATTAGTTCATCAGGAAAACCGCGTACTTCGAAGAATTCGGAGAAAGCAGGAGTATTGATACCGGAAGAATATCGTAAAGCAGGAGTTGTATTTGGGAAATCTACGTTCGGCACATCAGCTCGAACATCCCTATTAAATCCTATGAAAGAATCCAGTCGTCCATCCTCTTCTCAATTACCGACAGAAGAATTGTGTGGAAGTTCTGTTTCTAGAGGAACAGGATCATCTATATCTCGAGAAAGACTTACATCTTTACCAAGGAATTTGAAGAAATCTAATCTCGATCCAAAAAGGAAGAGAAAAGAAATTAATCTGATTGATATTGAAGAAGATATAATTGAATTGATTGCTCCAGAGTCAATTTCAACATCTTCTACATCGATTGAATCAACTAGATTGATAGATACGTTAAATCAGACTATCTCTCAAACAAATAATACAATTGAACCAGTCAAAATGACTACCAATAATTATGGAATGCCTGCGTTGTCAGCTGAAGCTAAGGCTGAGATTAACAAAGCCAGTGCAAAACTTCCAAGAAAGTATAAGACAGCACCGTTATTTGATATAACTGATCCAAGTCAAATGATACCATGGTTCGAAGCTACTAATTTGCCGTTTGCTGCAGATGTTCCGAAGACAGATAGGAACTATCTTCAAGCGTTGAAACCCAAAGTAGAAGACGAATTTAAGGATCTTCTGGAAATTAAATTAGAAAGTTTGATTCCAAGGGAATTGACAGAAGAACAACAGCAGATGGTTGTGTTGAATAAAGACCTCATGGAGGCAAACATGAAAGAAATTAGAGCTGTGAAGTCATTACAGTCGCACTTCAAAGAAGGAGCGGACATTATGACGCAGTTAACAGCAGTAATGGCACAGATGGCCAAAGAAAATGCTAAAGGAATGATTAATTCAATACCACCAAGTGGTCCCTTGAATCAATCTAATAGATTTAAAAGAAATACAACACCGAGAAGTTCAAATGGAACTCAGTGAGCATGTTTCTTGTGCAAGTCGACAGATCATTTTATGAATGAATGTCCACACTTGCTTGAATTTACGAAAAGAGGTTGGATGATGCCTGAAGGAGGTGACTCGAAGCGTTATAAATTAAGAGACAACGCTAGAATGCCTCGAGACAATCCAAATATACCTCGATACAAGAAAATTGAACAAATGGCAAAAGACTTGGGATGGGATCATGCTGAATCCTATTTTGCAAACATGGAAGATGACGAAGATGATAAAGTCATGGACCAGCAGATGAATCCTAATGTCAATCTAGCTGTTTGGATGACAAGAATAGAAGAATTATCAGATAGACTTGGGAATTTGGAAGCACACCAAGAAGATGATGTTCGTGTGTTCAACCAAGATAGTTCGAACGGAAAAAAATAAGTACTCCAATGAAGGAGCAGGATTGGTCCAAGAGAACTTTAAGATCCAATGCTGTAGCTCCGGAGGAAAGTGAGAAAGCAAAACGAAATCAATTTAATGATAATAAGAGAAGATTAGTATTTGATGGGGTACATATACATATACCCAAGAAACCAGGTTTAATACCAGGTAAATTGGTTGAAACGACCAATGGAAATCAGAACACAGTGAGATTTGAGGCTCCAAAGTCCATAGATTGGCCTTTGAAGAAGCCCTCAGTCATGATTGAAGACGTTGATGAATCTGATGATGAGGATACTATTAAATTAATTCCTTCGTCAAGACCAATGAATCAAATTAATAGCGAACATAGACCGTATGATCATGTTCAACCTAGGACGTATTGTCCTATTCAAATTAATACACCTACAGAGGTATCAAGAGACCAGATGAATCAAATTGATAGTCATGGATATACTCCAGCCTATAAAATTAGGAATGAAGTCTTGAGACCAGGTGTAGAAGAAGATATAGCAAAGAAGATATTTGATGCTAAAGTTGGTTTGACTACAGAAAAATTAGCAGCTTCATCACCTGCTATCATAAAGATTATTATACGCAATAGAAGAGTCCGTCCAAGGACTAAAACGAATAATTACGTATCAACTTTATCCGAAGATAGAGAAACTGAAATTTTGGATGATCCATCCAGTGTACAGATGATTGATACATGCATTAGAATTGAAGATCTTTGGCAGGATCAGGCAGATATGTTGGAAGTTCTGACTGAAAGTCGTAATGACATACCTGTGGGATCTATAGTGCAGAAAGATATTGTGGAAAGTTTTCTACGAAATCTGTCTATTGATGATGAACGAAGAAACATTGCCATAGTTGCTAATCAGAGCGTGGCATATGAAGATCATAATGATCATCCAGTGGTAGTAGCAAATCAATCCAATGGATTACGTGCTGTTACTCCTGAGATCAATAATAAAGATGAAGAGATTGAAAGTGTATTGGACCAAGGTTCACAAATTGTTGTGATAGACCAATTGATAGCTATAGGTCTAGGGATTACTTGGGATCCAGAATTCACGATCAGAATGCAAGATGCAAGTGGAAAATTAAATCAAACTCATTCAAGTCCTAGTACAGTATAGTAAAAAGTTACTAAGCCTACTCTCTTATGACCAATGATAGTTTTGCTACTGCAGAGCACCCTGGAGAGTCCATCACCACTTCCTTTGGGCAATTGTCCTAGAGGCCAGATTTTGACAGATCTCACTACAATAATCAGCAGAGTTCCAAGAATGGATCCAAATGTGCATTGCTAGGTGCATGAGAAATGATGTATATATCAAAGGAGTTGGTGTCAAGTCCATGCCTCAGTGCCCTGCTCTGCCGCTCGGTATTCCGGGATCTACCATTGATTGTAATCTCCTCCTTATTGTTCTTTCTTGCTACACATTCCCTTTCTACCTAGGCTCTCCCTTATTGTTTTATACTTTCTCTTATTGTCTTATTTCTACCCTGCAGGTACCCCACGTATAGCTCTGTCATGCCCTGACTACAACCAGGCCAGTCCCAGTAGCAACCACACGCCCCCACACCTCCTATCTCACCTACCTCATGGTCCTGGTACCTCCCCAAGGCAGTACAACCACCCCTTCCCGGATACCCTTCCCATTTCCAAATGCCCTGATGACTCCCCGACATGCGTAGCTCCCCTGACATGTGCATGAAACCCTCCTACCACCAAACCCATTAAGTATTAATCTCAATTACCTCCCTCATGTTCTCCAGATCCCCCAATGTCCCCTTGTTCACTTCCTGTAACTATTTAAGTAGTCTTGCAATGTTCTGAAGCCCCAGCTTGGTATGTTTTGAACACACACCCTTTTGCATAGGTCCAGTCCTTGACCCTTTGTACCTGCTAACCATACAGATTTCTCTCTGTTTCTCTATCTCTGTTTCTCTACTCTTATCTTTCTCTCTACAATCGTCTAAACGATTCAATACATGCTTTTACTTCACGTCTAAGCAACCTGAGTGAGTCTTTGAGCTCCCTTGACCAATACTAAAGCTCCCGAATGTCTACCGTTTTGGTGAGCCAACCTCCCCAAGTGCTCCATGAGCTCAGGGACCTTGATCTAGGTAATGTCGAAGCTATCCCCTACGTCAAACTACATGCTGCTTCTCCATTACTACCTCAAATACTGCCTGTACAATACTGTAGTTCCTCAGTTCAATTATCAACTTAGATTCTCCTCTCCAACTTAGTCTTCAGGCTCGTTGCCTTGAAGTACTCTCTACTCAATCCTCAGGACTTACAAGTCCTTTGGTTTGCTTCTCGTTGTTGGCAATACTGCCACTCCAACTTGGCTGCTCCTGGCTCTCTTTCTTCTCTACTCTCAATCTCCGGGGACTAGCGGCATAACGGTGGTGTTGTTAATAGCTTCACTACTGTCCCATTTGACTCTCTACCCTTACACACCTTGTGGCCTCTGGCATGGCTCCATGGTGTACATGATCTTAACAGTTGGTTGGATTGAGGGGATTTGAAAGATATTGCAGGACAGCCTAGCCTAATTGTCAAGGCAAATCAAGGTATTTGGTGGCCACTTTTAACTGAATGGTAACTCACAGTGGAATCCTGGTACAAAAATCATAATCAATAGAACTGAGACAGAGTCTCAACTCACAGCAGTATTTTATAATATCTCAAGTTGGTTATATCTCATTTGAGATTTAGAATCCCTGGACTTGGGAACTGAGTTGCCATTGGAACTCTTGAGGTGCTGTAAGACCTGGGTCAAAATAGGTCTTAGGGTAGGTTTTGGTATATGGAGGTTTATGTTGTAGCGTGCTAGGAGCAGGCTGGAGCTCGAAGGGAGCTACGAGAACCGCGACCGAGGACGGGAATGACCTAGTAGTGGCTGGAACGACGAGATGGTGACCCTTGAGGGGGTTCCTAGGAGGTCCAGGGAGGTCCCTAGGGCGTAGGGAGGTTATGGAAGAGTGCAGGACCGTACAATATTGCGTAGTAGGAGTTGTACTCGCTAGAACGTCAATATAGGATTGAGTAGGTCATATGTGTAAATGGGTCTTGAGGGTGTAGCTCCCGAGAAGGGATGTGCCAGGGAGGGCAGGTCCCTGGGGGCTAGGCTTGAGGATGGACGTCCTCGAGTGTGGGAGGTGGTAACGGAGAAGCAGTACGTAGTTCGACGTGAGGGGTAGCTTCGACGTTACCTAGATTGAGGTCCTGAAGCTTATAGAATAGCTAGGGAGCTCGAGGAGGTTTGGGGAAGTTAGCTCACCAAGGCGGTAGGCGTTGGGGAGCTTTAATATTGTTCGAGGGAGCTCGGGAACTCACTCGGATTGCTTAGACATGAAGTAAAAGCGTGTATTGGATCGTATAGACGATCACAGAGACGATAGACAAGAGTTGAGAGAAACAGAGGTAGTGAAACAGAGAGTAAAGAGAAATCCGTATGGTTAGCAGGTACAAAGGGACAGGGACTGGACCTATGCAAAAGGGTGTGTGTTCAAAATATACCAAGCTAGGGACATTTATGCTACAATGGTGCTTATATAGGCGAAAGGAGTTGACAAGGAACCATTATAGTAAACGAGCATTCAATGGGGATGGTGTGAAGTGCGGAACCCATGAGGCTAAATTGATAGGGGATTGTCCGGCGGCATACACGAGTCGCAGAGCTGTCGCTTCAGATGGAGGTTAGCATTGGTCGGAAGGTTGGCTAGGGTTCCGTCATGGGATGGGAGGTTATTTGGGAGGTGGGAAGGAGCTGATACGCGGTTCTGGGATATCTAGGAGGTAACGAGGGGAGCTTTTTAGGGACAGGGCATGACAGGTGCTCACACAACTGTGCTTCTAACTTGACCTTCAACTCTCAACCAATGACAATGGGAATTTAGTATGAAATTCATAATCACTGGAATAGAGTGTAAACATAGGTTAAACTACTACATAGTTAGTATGTGTGGCAATATTGTTAGTGTACTGTGAGCTCATCTCAGTTGGTGATAAAGCAACTGAGGGAGCTTGAATACAGCCACTTTGCGTGATTTAGTGTAACTGTACAGTTTATAGTCATAGTTAAATGGCATATACGTAACAAGTGTCAAGGTGTCAAAGCTGTTCTCTCAGTGTATGGAGTGGTCCCCAACATACAGATGGAGTTGCAGCATTGTCAAGGTCAGGCACTGGTCAGTTTTGCAGGTATACCATACTGGAGGGCACCTGTGAGCCCATCAGCACTTGGTTTAGGAGTTGGTGAATTGAGGGATCTGACAGATATTGAGGAGAGCATAGCCAGATTTTCAGAGGGATCAAGGTATTTGAATTTCCATTTTCAACTAATCATTGTAGCCAACAGTGGAAATTCAGGAACAGGTTACAAAAATGGATATAACTTCCATCACTGGCACTGTTATTTTGTCCTGGTTTGCTGGAGGGGATTGCTCCTTGCATAAATATAACTAGTACTGTGATGAGCACCTATTCCTGAGTACCTCCCATATCTTCCAAAAGCTCCACCACCCCTTTCCAGGCAGTGTGGTTGAGCTTATGCTAATGTAGAAGTGGAATTAATCCCGCCCCTGGAGCTGAGACAGAGTCTCAACTCACAACAGCATTTTACAGCAAGTCCTGTTGGGTTATATTTCATCTGAGATTTAGAATTCCTGGACCTGGGAACTGAGTTGCCATTGTGATTCTTGAAGTACTCACACAACTGCAGTTCCAACTTGACTGACCTGAACTGTTGTGATCCACACCTATAAAAGCAGGGCAAGTGGAGACTGAATAACACAATAATTCTTTTACCACATTCACCAATATTACACAGACACTAGGAGCTAGTTTGAACCTCCTGCATTATCTATCACTTTGGATTGACTTTCTGAATTTTTTGATTCTTGCCACAATGGATGATATTCTTCCTCAAATTGAATCTTGGTAAATAAATTTCATAATACCTATTGATAGTCTGTACTCATAATTATTTTCCACATCATTTGACTTTAATTCTTTCAAATAAGGTTGTTGAACAATTATGCACAGGCTGCTATTATCAGTAAGCAATCTTTCTCCTGTTCTAGCTATGCCTTTGATTACAATTGTTTCAGCACTATGTGTTGCAGACTATATTGAGACATGGCCCAGAGAATTTAGCTCAATATGGAAAAGAAAAACAACTGGAACTTCAGTACTGTTCCTAGTTAACAGATACACGTTGCTCTTGTCTGTTATGATTCAAGCAATATCTGCTTTTCCTGGAAATGGAACAGATGAACAGTAAGCTACGACTTTTCTAATACATGTTGTTCTGGTACTAATATAACAAAAGGTGCCAAGCATTAAATACGATATATTCAATTTTTACAGTTTTGTCCATAGTTGCAGCCAATGGTGTGTAGTCAATCTTACCTCAATGACCTCCACTCACCTGTTTAAGTTCTTTTTGCTTTGAGGGTTTATGCAATATACAGTAGAAATAACGTGATTTTTGGAATGGCTTCTGCATTCATCATTTCAAGATTTGCACTTGATATATGGGTAAGTGTCATTATCACTGAGCTATCAAGGATTAGCTGCTTGTATTTCATTGTCCAGTGACACATTTTGTGTATAGAGTAAGGTACTAGAAGTTGGTGCTTCAACAATTGATTCTCCATTTCAAAACCTCTTAAGGTGTGAGCTGATCATTAATAATATAGATCAATATAATCAGTAAGCACCAGTTTATCAGATCTTTGACAAATATTTGATTTTGCATCTTCTAGAAGTGTGAAATTACCATGGTTAAGCAATAACATTCTTATTGTTGATTTTTCTAGTAAAACTGGGTATTCCACTGTTGGCATTGGGATATGACACTTTCATCTTTGTTCTAACTGCTATGAAAACTGTTCAACATTCACTGGAAATGCAAAGACTCAAACATTCTAGTATTACACAAATAATCATCCGTGATGGTAAGTCTTGTATATATTGTTCTGAGAATGATGCTCAAGATTCCTAATAGGGACTTTGTATTTCCTGTATGTTCTATTCCATCATTTTAACTGAGCAATATATGTTCAAAAGACTGATATTGAGTATTTTAAGACTCATGCTTGTGGTGGCTATTATTCTTGTTATCTTCAGTGTGGTCAGTTTTTAACATTTTCTAGAAGTTCTTCAGTGCATTATATTTATAGAATCCCTCAAGGTATCATTAAAGTCGGGAAATCCTAATGTATGTCATTGTATCCGAAAAGGGTTCCGGATTATTGCAAACTATACTCTCCATTTACAACAGAATTTTGAGGAGTTTATTACACCATTCTTTGATATGTGAATCAATCTTTCATTGTTGACTATATTCTTTCTAATTTGTGTTCCAGATTGCCCAACCTTCTCATCAGCCGCCTGATGCTCAACTTGCGCACATATCCTGAACCTGGCAATACCACAATATCCCAAGGTCAACAGACCCATGTATCATCATTGAACTTTGCTTCCAACCAGATGTTGGGGAATATTGGTGCTCCATTTGATGGGGGATCTTTCAATGAGGAAGAAGAAGAAGAAGAAGAAGAAGAGAGAGTGGAAATAGAGGCTATTGGTGGGCAACATGACAGGTCTGGTGAGCCTGAAAGGTAACTTGAATTTGATCATGACATGATACCATCTCATGTCACATATGTTTAAGCTGGTGATTGTGCAGACTCCAGAGCATAAGGAAGGCTTTTGAACTTGAATGTTTACCATATGTTTTGATGAAATATTGAAATTTTTCCTGCGTTTTCATATATATATATTTATTTGGTTCATAGTTCTTCTATCCTTCCCACAATTCCTAATTGAATCATTTATTTAGCTTGGGGGTGTTGTCAAATTGACATAAGTCAATCAGGAAAGTTTAAAATAATGTCATGACAAGTAATATCTCAATCATTTCACAGAGGAAGTAGCTAATTAGATATAGCTGCCATTAAGTGGAGGTGCAACAGGTTGAACAAGAGTAGAAACAACATGTGGCATGCAATGGTTGAGTTCTTCAACACCTCAACCACTGGCAATTGTTGATGTTGATACTCTCATCTTATGTTCCACAATATCTGCAGGTATAACAACAGACACAGAATCAAACACAAACACAGTATCAACACTACCAAATTCAGGCAGCCCACGCCGCCGACTGCTCCTCCACCACTCCCACTGTCCCTCCACTACCACCTTCTATTCCAGAAGAGTATGTCAGATTTGCAGACATCTTCAATGATATTACTGCAGATTCATTGCCTGAACATAGGCTCTAAGACCTGAAGATTGACTTGGAAGAAGGTGCTCTGCTGCCTCTCAGTCATATTTATCCTTTGTCTGAAAAGGAGCTTGTTGCTCTTAAACACTTCAAATAGAAGGTTATGCCATTTGGCCTTACTAACACTCCTGCTGTTTTCCAATGTTTTTGTCAAGTCCATGCCTCGGGCCTCCATTCCGCTGCTCGGTATTCCGAAGATCCACCGTTTATTGTAATCTCACTCTTATTGTTCTTTCTCGCTACACATACCCTTCCGTTCTAGTCCCTCCTTATTGTCTTTTACTTTACCCTGCAGGTACTACTCGTATAGCTCCTAGTAGTTAGTCTGGCGCTCCGCACCGATGCGCCGTTCCGTAGATATAAATACTGCCTGTATGCTACTGTAGTTCCTCAGTTTAATTATCAACTTAGATCTCCTTTCCAACTTAGCTCCTCTCTAAGTCTTCAGGCTCATTGCCTCGAAGTACTTGTTACTCTACCTAGGACTTATAAGTTCTTTGGTTCGCTCCTTGTTGTCGGCGTTACTGCCACTCTGACTTGGCTGCTCCTGGCTCCTCTCTTCTATACGGGGACTAGCGGCGTAACGGCGGTGTTGTTAATAACTTCACTACTGTCCCATTAGACCTTCCGCACTTAGATACCTTGTGGCCTCTGGCACGGTTACATGGCGTACATGATCTTAACAGTATGACTGGGGGTAAGGCCGCATGCGGCAAGGGCCAAACATTTTAATATTACAACTAAATAGCTATAACCACCATGATCTTAACTTTTCACACAACTAAAATCATCAAAGCAAACCTCAGTGGGGGTGTTAGAGTAGGTCAATTCATTGATCACCGAAAATTTCACAATGTCTTAACCTTCCCCCTGTAGTAGTCTAAGTAGAAAATGTGCAGTGTGGTAAAGTAGTTGTTTGGGAATCAAACCTATCTAGTACACTTAATTTGACTATCCTATTCTATCCTATCCTACAGGTAAAATAGACAAAACAATCTGCTGACATCTGCAAAACCTGGATATTCGGCTAAGCACCGAGAGCAGATCCCAGCAGATCCCAGTGCTCTCAATTGCTTCCGGACCCTTAGCCAAAAATACAGGTTTTGCAGATGGAGATACACAGTGCTACCAGTACAATACTTATGATGTTTTCAATGAGTCCTATTATTAGTAAGGTTTACATCTGCAAAACCTGTTACGAGGCTGTAGTTTACAGAAGACTCGTCCTTATGTAGGCTGTGTTGTGCTATTTCGCTTTGCTTACTTGCAAGGAGTTTCTCCATATATGGTACTCAGTCACATTCTGTTGGAATACATTCATTTAAATGTGACCGGCATGGGATATCACGGGACTGCTGTCACCCTCTGTCACGATTACTTTTTCTCGTCTCATTCGGTTACTCCCTGTTACTCCATCGATAGTTTAAGTAAATTTACTTTTATTCTGCTTTTCTCAAAAAATCAATGTCGGCGCCTGAAAGGCGCCCCCGTTTTTTGATTCCATAATATTCAATGAATATTTAATAACCCACAAGGAAGGAGCCGAGTTTTTGCCATGCATGGTGGTGCAGTGGCCTACAATCGCATGTATGTTCAACAGAGCAAGGGTGAGTGCTCTCCAGCACCAAAAGCAAGATTTTCAACTTAGCCAAAAATAAATTTTTTCCAGATGAGTAGAACAGTGGCAAGGAATTCTCCACACTAAGCAGGTTCAAATTTTCATAACAGATTAATTTACATGAACTGGCTGCAGAATATCTAATTGCTAAGTAGGGTTTTTCTGGATGAGGCTGTACCTATTGTACCACATGACTGTGGGACATAAGAAGCCTTACCTAAAGGTTCGGCAATAATTAAACTCAATCTGTTAACATCATACTGACATATCATTCTTTATGCCTCCGAGAACTCGAGCTTAATCTAGAGCTCAAGATGTTCTTCGTCAATCTTGCCCTGGTCTTCAATGACCTAACCCCTAAGTACTTCACCGACCAACAGAAGGTGAATTATACTCTTTCCTATCTCAGTGGGTCAGCCAAAGAGTGGTTTGTCCCTGATATCCTCGATCCGGATCTCGACTCGCTGCTGGCCTGTGTCATGCCCTGGCTACAACCAGACCCGCCCCAATACCAGTCATCACCTCCTATTGACCCCTACACCTCCAAAGTACCACCATACACCTCCCAAGTACCACCATACACCTCCCCGATCCCCAAACACCACCATGCACCTCCCCCAACTGTCACCATTCCCCTGACATACATACAACACCTTCCTAATAGCCAACCCCTTTAGGTACTAAATCTCAGTTACTACCTTCCTCCCTAGATTAGCTGCCTCATGTTCCAGATGTTCTCTTGTTCACTTCCCATTGACATGCCTAAATTTTGGCTAGACGTCTATGCTGTGAATTGTGACATTTTCACATATAGATTTGTATCGAGAGGACTGTAATTGAGACCCAGATTGACAGTCAAAGTCAATACTGAATCAGTCTAATAAGTTGAAGGGACCATATACCCATACTACCACAAGTTGGTTAGTTTACCCATCCCCGATACTACCTTCGGATAGCAGTCTACCTGTTTGTCAAGCAGGATTATACCAGACTCGGACTACATCCGAAGGATGACCATTCACGTATGACATACCAAGGGTATTCTTATTGGACCTTACACTGGCAGGAGTTTGGAAGAACTTACTCAAGTGACTATGAGCCGAGGATTGACTCAAAATGACTTTCTAGAACTCAGGAATTATCAAATACTCCTTCTAGAATGAGATCATGCATTAATCTAAAAGACTGTGATTTAGTCTAATAGACCAATCAGGTTGCATGGTTGAGGAAAATGACTAGAAGAACGATCGAAGTACTGTGAGGCTCCAATAACGAGCTTGCCTCGTTTTTGTGTGAAAGAGAAAGGAAGGAATCTAATGTGCACTCCAACCAACCAATCTAATACACAATATGCGAGTTCACTGCTATCAAATTTATTTAATAGCAAGGGGTAGCGTTGGCAAAGGTTCCGCAAAGCTTTGAAAGCTAAGTAAAAAGCTTTGATCAATCAATTTGAATCGTTCTAAGGATTCGATATATTCCTTTGATCAAGGTAGATTCAGCACGACTTGTGCTTTGATTTGTATTGATTTGGGTATATCAAGAATTGGGGGTTCGAATCAAAGTAAATTAAAACCGAAACACACAGACCCCTACGGAGGGCTAGAACTATGTGCTGGCACAACCACACAGTGTGATTTGCCCTTAAGACCAACGACTGATCCTAAGTTCGAAGAATATCCAACAACTGGATATACTTCTCGCAGTCACAAGGAGCAGAACACAATGTTCCTATACTCACAAGTGCTGGGCCCGAATGGCTGCTAGCGAAGAGGTTTCAGTCTGGCGGGAGTGTGTCTTTCCTTTTTACGGATTAGCACTGCAACGTCGTCCCAAAATCACTTGTATTCCAGATACATCGGATCGCTATTTATACATACAGAATATAGAGTTGCACAGTACAATTAATTTAATACAATAAACATTCGGAACCGCAAGGAAACTTCTACTACTCAGTCAGATACCATTTAATTTGAATCTACATGTCCTTATTTGGTCCATATTGGTTCCAAGATTCTAGTATACCCCCAAACATAGGTAGGTACTTCAATATTCATTTAATTTAATTGTTTTGGAGAATGACTCAAATGGTGTTCAACACTTACTTTGATCATTTGTCACCTCGTCCGGAGGCAAATCAGCTCTCCTCGATTCTAATCCTATCAATCTGATTCATCTGGATTAAACTAATTGCTTCTCTCTTTCAATAGACACCCATTGTGCCTATACTCTATCAAGGGAGTTACGCATAGTATTCATTTTAATTGCATTCTTCAATATTTTCTACATCAGGACTCTTTGACATTCATTTGATATGTCTTCAGAGCTCTCAAGAGTCGGCTGTAATGATCCAACAGCAAGCTCGAGTCATTGAGACGCTTCAGGAACAACTCCGTGAAGTAAGGAAGGGATTCGCAGCGGGGGGAATACCAACTGGTGGACCAATTCCCAAAACAGGAAACACGGCGGGAGTATTCGGGCAAGCGCCCATGGTAATGATAGAGGACACGAGGGGAGGTCCCTCTCCTGTAGTTCCCCAGCCAAGAAGCTGGCAAGCTACAGAGCCAATATCTTTTACGAGACAAACTCCTATAGGAGTTAAGGAAGGGAACCCTCAGGAGGGACAAACAGCCCCGCTACCTGCCACCCCGAGTGTGGATAGGAGGCGGATTCAGGAATGGGGAGCTCGTGTGCAAAGAGCAGAGCTTGGGGAGTATGTGA